GGCAAATTTCAATCAAAATGACCAATATGTCTCCTCGTTCACTACCATTTATTATCTCGGTTAAAATAAAGGTCAAATGGCTGAATCACCAATACTAACCCGAAATTCAAAAATTAATATGGCTTCTTCGACATTTCATACACCCAAAATACATAGTAGTTAATTGGTGTTGGTAGAAGAAAGAGAAAGTATGATCATCATAAATTTTCACCACTTTCGCCAAGGGGAAATTTGTGACAACATTCATGGCATCACTGTTAATAACAGGAAGTAGTCTTCAGAAAAAACTTACAGCAACCCATAAAACAAAACATTTTTGCTCAAGCAATTGACTGGCGAAAATAAAAAGGGCAAAAAAAAAACGATAATATTAGAAATGAACCACAGCGGGGTTGAACCTGCAACCTCCCGAACGGGAAGCCACGACGCTACCTCTGGCCCAAGCAAGTATTAGACGAAGGTTTGTTTAACTGCGCTATCAAGTAAACTAGTATAACAGTTTACAAGATCAATATAGAAAGAGGGAAGAAGAAGCATCAGTGTAATAAAGAGCTTTTCAAAACATTATTCTAAAAATAGAATATTACAGAATATTAACAACATAACATTCTACTTCTCATCTTACATAGCACCTGTAACAAAAATTATTATTTAACAGAAGAGCTTGTGATGGCCAGGTCAGAGGTGGGCGAACTTCAAATATTGGGGGCCAATAAAAATAAAATTACCAAAATTCAACAATTTATCTACATGCGCCCCTACAATATAAGGTTCCTGTGCAAAATGTAGATATTTGAAAGTATATTTTTCCAAGGACCATTCAATGCGTAGACCTTTTAATGAATATAGTTTAAATGACAATACGAGGCGTATATTTTTTAAAGAATATTATTCAAGGACCATCCAAGGCCTATATTTTTTAAAGAATACTTTTCAAGGACTATCCAAGATCTAGATTTTTTGCAGAACATTTTTCTGTGTAGTTTTTTTAAAGAATATATTTTCAAGCATCCACATAAGGCCTAAATTTTTTAATGAATATTTTTCATGCAGTAACATAAGACGTAGATTTTTCAAAGAATAATTTTTCAAGCATCCACATAAGGCGTAGATTCTTCAAAGAATAAGCATCCACATAAGGCATAGATTTTTAAACAATGTATTTTCTAGGATCTATACAAGCCATAGACTTTTTAAGGAGCATCCACATAAGGCGTAGATTTTTTAAAGAATATTTTTTCAAGCATCCTCATAAGGCGTAGATTTTTAACGAATATTTTTTCAAGCATCCACATATGGCGTAGATTTTTAAACAATGTATTTTCTAGGATCTATACAAGGCATATACTTTTTAAGGACTATCCAAGACCTAGATTTTCAAAGGAATATTTTTTTAAAGGCTTACCATGACCTAGATTTTTTATAGCATATCTTTTCAAAGATCCGCACATGGCGTACATTTCTTATAGAATATTTTTAAAAAGATCCATACAAGGCATATATTTTTAAAAAGATATCCACACAATATATTTTTAGAAAATATTTTTGTCAAGTGTCAATACAGGGCTTAGATTTTTAGTGAAAATTTTTTAAGAGTCCAAAAATTGCGTATATTTTTAGTAAATATTTTTTCAGGGATACACACAAGGCGTAAATTTTGTATAGAAAATACTTCCTCTCCTTCATATGCTTTGAAAAATACTAATTTTAATACCTATACGCCTTGACAGACTTCGAAAAAAATGTATACCCGTCACCACACTGTGGTACAGGGCATTATGTCTTTGTACATATGTTTGTAACAGGCAAAAGGAAACGAGTTCCTTTTGAGAATATGCATAGAATCACTTTTTATTTTGATTTATGCATGTCCGTACATCCGTCTGTCCATGTTAAATTGTAAACAAAGTACAGGTCGCTTTTTTGATTCGAATTGGGTGAAATTTGGCACTATTGAAATTGGGAAAAATCGGATCAACTTTAGATATAGCTCCCATATATATCCGTCTGATTTGATATAAACGGTATACCAAAGTCCTTACATATCTTTCGATTTGCAAGAAATTCGGCAGAGCGTACTGAATTAGATCTAGAATAATGTGTGTTAAGTTTCCTGAAAATCGGTCCAGATTTAGATATAGCTGCCACAAATACTTCCGTCCGATTTAAAGTAAATGATGTACCAAAGTCCCTATATCTCTTTCGATTTGCATGAAATTTGACACCGCGTGAATTAGGTCTAGAATGTTGTGTGTTAAGTTTCGTGAAAATCGGTCCAGATTTAGATATAGCTCCTATATGTATATATATATATATATATATGTATTCCACCAATTTAATGTAAAAGGTTGCCCAAAGTCCCTATATATCTTTCGATTTGCACGAAATTTGCCATAGCGCACTGGATTGAGTATAGAATGTTGTGCGTTTAGTTTCGTGGAAATCTGTTCCGAATTAGATATAGCTCCCATATACATATATAAATGGTATACCAAAGTCCCAAGATATCTTTCGATTTGGACGAAATTTGGCATAACGTACTGAATTGAGTCTAGAATGATGTGTGCTAAGTTTCATGAAAATCGGTTCAGATTTCGATATAGCTCCCATATATATTTTCAAACGATTTAATGTAAATGGGGCGCCTACGTCCCTATATATCTTTCGATTTGCACGAAATTTGGCATAGAGTACTGGATTGTGTCTAGAATAATGTGTGTAAAATCTTTTGAAAATCGGTTCAGATTTTGAAATAGCTCCCATATATATTTTCGCCCGATTTAATGTAAATGGTATACCAAAGTCCCAACATATCTTTCGATTTGCACGAAATTTGGCACAGCGTACTGAATTTGGTCTAGAATGATGTGTGTAAAATTTCTTGAAAATCGGTTCAGATTTAGATATAGCTGCCATATATATTTCCCACCGATTTAATGTAAAAAGTTGCCCAATATCCCTATATATCTTTCGATTTGCACGAAATTTGGCATAGCGTACTGGATGGAGTCTACAATGATGTGTGTTAAGTTTCCTGAAAATCGGTCCAGATTTAGATATAGCTCCCATATATATATTTTTGTCCGATTTAATGTAAATGGTTCACCAGGGTCCCTATTTAGTTTTCGATTTTCACGAAATTTGGCATAGCGCGCTGAATTGAGTCTAGAATGATGTGTGTACAATTTCTTCAAAATCGGTTCAGATTTAGATATAGCTCCCATATATATTTTCGACCGATTTAATGTAAATGGTACACCAAAATCCGCATGTTTGTAATATTGACATGGAATTTTGAACAACTTATAAAATTTAGCATAGAATGACGTAATTGCGTTCTGTAGAAGTTCAGATAGGGTCCATATAAATTGCCGACCGAGTTCGTGTTAATTGGGCTCCAAATATTCAACGGGTGCCCGATTGATTTGATTGAAATCGATTTACATACTTTTGTCCCATTGTAACATACGAATGGCATGTTTATTGAGAGATCTAAGTCGGTTCACACTTTTAGATTAAGGTCGTGTTAATGGCCCTCTGTTAGGATTCATCTGTTTAATATACCCATAGTGGTGAAGGGTATCATATAATCGGCCCCGTCCGACTTTACTACATTCCTTACTGGTTTTTAATAAATCCACGCCTTGTTGATTTCTTGGAAAATTGTTTGCTTTTAATAAATTCACGCCTAGTTGGTTTCTTGGAAAAAATATTTTTTATACCCTACACAACTATGTTGTCAGGGTATTATAGCTTTGTGCAGCCCCAAAAGTTTGTAACGCCGCGAAATATTGGTCCTAGACCCACCTTTAAGTATACCGATCGTCATATCTCGACTAGCTGAGTCGATCTAGACATGTGTGTCCGTCCGTCCGTCCGTCTGTCCATTATAATTTGTAAACACGATACAGGCCACAGTTATGGACCAATCTTCACGAAATTTTGCATGTAGGATGGGTTCTGGCCAATGAAGACCCCTATTGTTTTCGGGAAAGATCGGTTAATATTTAGGGGATGAAATGGACCAAATACTAAATTTTTGTCGGTTTTTCTGATCGCTCCAGAGGCCGCAACAATGGTCCGAACATCGTGAAATTTTGCATGGAGAAGCGGATCGGGCCAAAGAAAAAGCATGCCTGTTTGGAGAAAGATCGGTCAATATTTAGCGGGTCAAATGGACCCTGACTTTTGTGTGAAAAATGACAAAATTTGTATTCTATGGCGTATATATTTACCCCTGAAGGACATATACCCGAGAAGTTGATATTATATCCAAGAGGAGTGGTTGACCTTTAAATTAAGACCAATTATATTGTTGTATGTGCTCGGATGTGGGAGTTACATCTAAATATTTACAGGTATCTCCGTATTCCTATATTAGTTAGTAACCCATTATGACTCTGGAGTGCGGAACTATAGCGCTGATCGCTTTGAAATGTTCCATGAGGTTCCAGTTATGGTCAAGGACAACACCTATAATTTTCGGCGATGATCACTTAATTTTTTGTGTTATTTTCGAGTCGATCTATAGACCTCAAATGAAAGCCGAACATCACAACACAACCCACGGTGAAGGGAATCTGGATAATAGCTGTACTGAATACTCGTAATATTCGGAAAATATGTCAGTGTGAGGAAGAGGTGCTGTTTACCTCTAATCGGGCAAGAGGGTGCAAATATAACGAAATATTGCCCAGTCTCGGAATAAACATCCGCAGAAAATTTGAGTTCCGTGGTAGTTGTGTAGGGTATCGTATGGTCGGCCCCGTCCGACTATACTGCTCCGCTCACTGGTTTTATAATATTTTTGTATAAATCCACCCCTTTGAAAAAAACACTTACGTGGTTTTCCTTGTTGTGAATTGAGTCACAATTTCCTGCAATACCCCATATTCATATATTAGTTGTGCACTAATTATGTTAGAATAGCGCAAAAAAAATAAAACTATATAATGTGCTTTTTAAAGTAGCAACAACTTATGTGGTTAAATATAATGAATATGGATATATGTATGTATGGGTGTACACTTCACACACGTTATGCTAATTTTGTGCGTTTATAATTTCCTAACGTGCAAAAAGTTTCCAACACTACGACCTATATGTGGAGAAAAACTAGGTTGAAATTTGAATACAAAATTATGTTAAGTATTATTGTGAGCGTTTTCTCTAAAATAAAAATAAAACAAAAAAATTAAAACTTGTTTTGTTTAAAAATTGTTGAACGTTAAAATTTAAAAATCTGTCATGTGAAAAGGAAATGTGATATAATATAAAAAAGTAGAAAATTATTTTTTGTTGTAATATTTATGTTAAAGATATTTGTTTATATTTTCTTTAAAATTGTTTAAACAATTTCTTAATATAAATTTGTTTTTTTCCCTAGGGGCTGATGCCAATAATTTTGCATCAGCTTATATGTCAACAGCAGCCGGTTTACCACAATTTGGTAGTACCGCTCTGACCACATCACCCTTAGCCAGTGTTGCCTTAAGTTCAGCAGCAGCTGCTGCCGCTGGAAAACAAATTGAGGGTAAGTTTAATTCAAAGTTAATTTTTAATTATATAACATTTATTATGAGAAAGGGGGAATGTGATTTTTATAAAAATATGGACTCTATACCTTAAAAATATTTCTTTCTTTTTATAAAAAATTGGAAATATTTTCGCTAACACCCCAACCCAATACCATGTTACCTGAAATTATTTTACATCTAAAATATCAACCAAAATACATTCTGTCAATAAATATAAATTCATGCATGAGTGAAAATATTCGATTTATCCTCCCGGAAAAAAACACCATAAAAAATCTCACCCACAACAACTGAACGGAACAGATTTCCAGTTGCCAGTGACAGTTTTAAGATATACATTACACACACATACTCACGGAAAGGAAAACGAATTCGGTATTACATTATTTGTGTCATGGTATGAATAAGCGATTGAATGACTCTTCTCCATACACATGCAGTATTTTTTGGGAAGCAACAGCTTTGTCATCATCGTCGTCATCAGCCATGGAGAAAGCAGTGTAATCTTCGTCACTGCCATGGCTGCTGCTGCCACCACCATAATAATCATCATCGTCGTCGTCGTCTTTGGCATTGTCAACATTCTCAATATGCTGTTGGTGGAATCTGTTTGCTGGCTCACTAACTGCATCAGCAAATATGGCACGGTGACACTGTTCCACTGCCAGGACACAACCAGAGAAATGTATTAAAGTATTTTTATTTCCTGCATATTTTTCCGTTTTCCTTCTGATCATCGTTTTTTCAATGCTTTTTGGGGTACACTACACGGTCTACAAATCGATACACTTTTTGAAAAGTAATGTTATACGAACCAAAAAAATATTTTTAACAAGAACAAAACAGACGTAGATCTATTAAAAATATTTTTCAAATAGGCAACAAGGCGTGGATCTATTAAAATAACCAAGCCTAGATTTAAGCCTTGTGTGGATGCTTGAAACCAGTAAGGAAAGTAGTAAAGTCGGACTGGGCCGACTATATGATATGATATACTTTGGGTATATTCTACATATGTATCCTAAAATACGTCGCCTTTTCGAAAGAACATTGACATGACATTGAAGGCACTTAAATATGTGATTTTTATTCTAAACATAATTCAGTACGCTATGCGAAAATTCGTGCAAATATAATAATTTTAAGTGACTTTGGTCCACCATTTACTTAAAATCGGACGAAACTATATACGGAAGTTATCTAAATCTGAACCGATTTTCACGAAACTTAACACACATCATTCTAGACAAAATTCAGTACGCTATACCTAAATTCGTGCAAATCAAAGGATTTGCAGGGACTTTGGTACACCATTTACCTAAAATCGGGCGAAACTATATATGGGAGCTATATCTAAATCTGAACTGATTTTTCCAAAATTTAGCACACATCATTGTCGACTTAATTTAATCCCTGCAAATCTATTGATTTTCAGGGACTTTGGTGCACCATTTACTTAAAATCGGAGGGATATATATGGGAGCTATATCTAAATCTGAACCGATTTTCACGAAACCTAACACACATCGTTCTAGACATAATTCAGTACGCCATACCAAAATTCGTGCAAATTAAAAGATTTTCAGGAACTTTGGTGCACCATTTACCTAAAATCGGACGAAAATATATATGGGAGCTATATCTAAATCTGAACCGATTTTCTCAAATTTCAAAAGGGTTCGTCCTTGGGCCAAAGCAATGGGCTGTGCCAAATTTCATCCAATTCGGATCATAAATGTGACCTGTATTTTGCTCACAAAAATACATGGACGGACGGACATGCATAAATCGACTCAGAATGTGATTCTATGCATATTCTCAAAAGGAACCATGGGTCTATCTCGATTCCTTTTGCCTGTTACAAACATATGCACAAAGACATAATACCCTGTACCACAGTGTGGTTAAGGGTATAATAATATTCTTTAAAAAATCTACGCCTTGTGTGGATGCTTGAAAAAATATTCTTTAAAAAATCCACGCCTTGTGTGGATGCTTGAAAAAATATTCTTTAAAAAATCCACGCCTTGTGTGGATGCTTGAAAAAATATTCTTTAAAAAATCCACGCCTTGTGTGGATGCTTGAAAAAATATTCTTTAAAAAATCCACGCCTTGTGTGGATGCTTGAAAAAATATTCTTTAAAAAATCCACGCCTTGTGTGGATGCTTGAAAAAATATTCTTTAAAAAATCCACGCCTTGTGTGGATGCTTGAAAAAATATTCTTTAAAAAATCCACGCCTTGTGTGGATGCTTGAAAAAATATTCTTTAAAAAATCCACGCCTTGTGTGGATGCTTGAAAAAATATTCTTTAAAAAATCCACGCCTTGTGTGGATGCTTGAAAAAATATTCTTTAAAAAATCTTTAAAAATCTATGGATGCTTGAAAAAATATGCTATAAAAAATCTACGCCTTGTGTGGATGCTTGAAGAAGTATTCTTTAAAAAATCTACGCCCTATGTGGATGCTTGAAAAAATATTCTTTAAAAAATCTTTAAAAATCTATGGATGCTTGAAAAAATATGCTATAAAAAATCTATGCCTTGTGTGGATGCTTGAAAAATATTCTTTAAAAAATCTACGCCTTGTGTGGATGCTTGAAAAAATATTCTTTAAAAAATCCACGCCTTGTGTGGATGCTTGAAAAAATATTCTTTAAAAAATCCACGCCTTGTGTGGATGCTTGAAAAAATATTCTTTAAAAAATCTACGCCTTGTGGGGATGCTTGAAAAAATATTCTTTAAAAAATCTACGCCTTGTGTGGATGCTTGAAAAATATTCTCTCAAAAATCTACGGTTGGAGTGGTTCACTTTATTCGACTTCATATCCCCTTTTTAGGATATTTGCCAATGTTAAATTTTTCCCAAGGTTGTGTTTTTTTTTTCATTTTTCTTATTTTGTTGCAATTTCCTCCATATATCCTCATATTGATAAGCAGCTTCCGTTAAATCATGTTCAAATTCACTTATACATTGTGTTCGGGATATGGAGGAATAGTACGAAGTGGGTCTAATGTGTGAGCAGCAAAATTTTCATGATTATTTCTTGTTTGTGTTGTCATAGGTTTCATAGTTTTTTTCACATCACTTGGATGTTCATACATACTTTCCGACTTTTTCATCCTTTCATTTCATGTTTGTATCATCGTATCCTATCGCAACATTGGCAACAATGTTATTTATATCACACAAGCGAGCATTGAGAAGTTTGTGTGTATGTGTGTGTTTGTGTACATACTATAATTTTCCAAAGGATTTCTGGTAGATCATTGAAGTGCTGAAAGCAAACACACAAAAAAAAACGAAAACTTTCATAATTTCTATATGCTTCCGATTCAATATTTCCCTTCTCCTGGTACGGTAGTAGAAAAGGACAAAGTCATTGTGCTAATGTGAATTAAATCGTTAAATGATTTGGCGGAGAGAAAAATGTTGGTTATTTTAATCGAATTTTGTTTTTAAAGAGATGGCTACCTTTAAAGTACTATTGTAGATAAATGCACTTCTAGAGGCCTTAAACATATATATGATAGAACTTTCATAAAATTCTATCATGAGGTGTATTACATGTATTAGAATATCAAAAGATCATCAAGGGGAAGAACAACAGATGTCCGCAATTGATAGAAACCCTTTTTTCTGTTTTTCTCTACAGAACCGTAGGCTTGAAAAAGTTTAGCAAAACAAAGTTTTTGTTTAAAATTACCAAAAAAAATTCTTATTAAATATTTTTGTGTCGTCATGGATTATTACGATGAACATAAATTGCTGCATTGCGATAAAACACCACAGACCCCATAGAGGCATTAAGATATTTTTCCACCAGCACTTCGACCAACAACTGTCTATAAACAAGCTTTCTTATCGGTGGATACACCAAAATTATAAAATCGTCACAGGTGATGACGCATAGATATATGCGTAAGAGCTCGAAACATTCGGCATTTTATGTTTTGGAAGATAAGTCAAATACAGTGGCATTTATTAATTCGAAAAAGATCAAAGAAATGTCCTTATTTTTGATGGAAATTCTAACAGTTAGAAAGACTACATGTCTGGCTTTCGTATGGACTAGGATTATTGACTTCGCACAACAATTAACAAAATGACGGAACTTTGGGATTTTTTTTTTTTTTTTTTTTTTTTGAAAAATCGCCTTTTTTTGACCACAAACTAAGTTAAAAAAAAAATAAGGAAGATCTTCACGCGTTTAAAGTTTGTGAAGCCCCCTTGCAATCAACGGATGCTAACACAATAAATCGGCTATATCTTAAGAAATTTTTGAGATTTTCACTTGAAAATTTATAGGGATATTCTTGAATTAGTGTAGGATCAAATTAAATCAAAACAAAAAATTAAATTTTTTGAAACCGAGAATGGGTGGTAGGACCCCACCCATGGGACGGTCTATTCTAAGTGATACACCATAGCTCTCACAAATCGGCTTGCATATAATGTCTTATTTGTATTCCATGTAAAATGATCAAGGTTTTAACAACTACATTCGTCATGATAATGAAATTAGTCTTAGCCGAACTTCTTATATCATTCATCATTAAATATGCATTCAAAATCCGTTTAATCGATAAATAACTTTGAATGGGGAGTATGTCTATGTTCCTCGAAACTTGGCTAGGAACTTCTTAACAAAAGATATTCAATACCCAGACCAATATTTAATATTTAAGTATTTATTAACAGAAATTTCAGCCAATTCGGCTAAAACTTTCATTTGGGTCCCGCTTTGTTTATAAACGGACTATACCGAAAAATTGAACCTATATAAAAATTCCATACCCATCAAGAATTCGAAATGACAGTTCGGCTAAACTATTGGCAATACCGAAAATTAGGCGTGACAGTGATAATTTTTAGCAGAGATGATCAGAAACGACCCATAATACCAAGTTACAGCACCTCCAGTTCAATAATGCCACAAGAATCACAAAAATATCTAACATTGGGCGGGATATGTATATGGGCGCTATGTTAA